CTTGGTGTTGTCGTGATTGACTGGTGTTGCAATGCTCGATCTTTTGCTTAAGAGTTGCTTAAAAACTATTGCTTTGCTTCTTCGAATCAACAAAACCCTATGCTGAGCAGCTCCTTCAAAGATTTGATCTCGCGGAAACTCTACTCTTGTCTTCTCAACTCCCTATTGATCGAAGGTAATTTCTAAGCCCTTAATCCCACTTTGTATTTTCTTCGTAAATTGAACTTCTTAATGATGCTCAGTTTTGATTCACTGCATGTCGTAAATTCCATTTATTATTTAGATTTTCCCATTTGAGGAGGTGAAGCGCGTAGAAATTTGCATTCCCTACTTTCAGCAAATTGTGTTCATGTGATTTTGGTTGGTTTTTTTTTAAAAAAAAAGCAAGTTTTGTAAGTTCCTGGTGATTAACAGTGAATTGACCCACAGCGCCATGCTAAATTAAGATTAAGGTTAACAATCACAATTATTTAAATGTAAATATCGTTCAATTGCTGTATACATACGTATAATTGACAGCATATTCTCATTATGCGATTTCTTATGATACATCTTCGACTAGGTTACATGTTAGATTGAGTGGTTGATTTCACTGGGGAGCAGTGGCGTAGCCAGGATTATGTTTTGCCCTGGGCGAAAAATAAATGTGGTCTACGAGTATGTCGTGAATCTAACTCCTCTGCCATTTATTCTGTGTCAAGGCTGGAAGTAATTTCTTTTTTCAATATAAAGTATCATGTTATTAGCAAGCAATTCATCTCCCATCTTGTTGCGCAATGATGTTTTTATGAGTTTCATTACCGAAAAGGTTCTTTTCGTGCTTGCAGTCGATATAGGAAGAGTCAACACGAGCCAAATCAAAGTGGAGAAATTTTAGTAATCCTAGTCCATTGTTGCATGTACACCCCAAGGATTTTTAGCACTAAAGATGCGGCAAAGAATATTTGCAGATATGGGCCAAATACCAAAACGCGAAAAAAAAAAAAAAAAAAAAAAAATAAGCAACATGTTAGATTTAGTGATTTTTTTTTTTGGGTGACGCATATAAATTGAGCATGGCAATATTAACCACTCTGTTCTGTTAGCGACATAGAAGGCTGCAGCAGCACTGTGGTCAATTAGCGAGAGTGGCTCCCACACTCTTTAAAACTATCCATCAATATTAACCAAAATAAACGGAACGGATTCTTTCTCCTCCCATTAATTTTTAATGTCCCGGAGAAAGTAGCGAACTTTTCCGGAATTTCCCCCCTTCACATTTTAGTATTATTTCCAAGTCTTTCGCATTTTAACATCCTCACCAAATCTTCGGTATTTTGTTATAACATCTCCAAAACAATAATACCAAACGTCTCTTTAAACAGAACCTCCTCTGCTTGTATTTAGTTTGTTTCAGCTTAAGATAGAACATTTTGACAAGATTATACCAATGAAGATTTTCAAGAAGGTAAGTTAATTTTTTGAAAAATATTTTGTAATAACATATCTCTAAACTACCTAAGGTTTTAAGAGGGTGTATCTAGATTCAAAGAGAATAGATAACGTAAATCCATCGTCTTGCTCAAAGAATTTCTGGCATTTCAGATGATCCGAAACTAAAACCACTTTCTCCGAGGTGGAGAGTTACAGTTATGAGAAATCCACAGATATAACCACGGTTGAAGTCCTCCCAACGAATCAAATACTCATCCATCTACAATGCAAGAACACAAAGAGTCTTAAGCCTCCAAGCATATAATATGAGCGTCTCACAAACTTGCATCTAAGCAAATATTAACCATCTGTTTTTTTGGTCACGTGACAAAATTGAAAAGGCGAATGAAAGATTAACGAAAAGCCCCCTCTCCAATGCTCTTGGTGATGGAAAATCACAGACCTAAGCAAACAGAGAAAGAATCAAAGAAGCTTAAATATATTCCAAGCGATTCATGAGCAGAAAAAACAGTCAGAAACTAATCTGGAGGTTACAAAGATCTTATTGAAATAATAAAGACTGAAGCTTGAATAATATCTCGATGTGGTTACATATACGTTGTCCGCTAATTTCTTCAGCTCCCTACAAATCCAGAATCAGGAATCAGACATAGGCAATCCTGAAAGAGCTAAGCACTCTCTTTCAAGGAAAACTTTGAAGGTTCACACATGAAAGGGAAAAATTCTTATAGAACAAGATATTATATGGCAGCTCATGCTGAATGTGCCTTTAGATAATCACTTGGCTAAAGCTAGAATCTTCTTTAACTATAACATCACACTTGGCTAATAATCACTTCAGACTATATGTCAATTTAGAGTGCATGCAATTTGACTCCCAACGGAACGACAAGATTTCAGTATTATGAGTATGCTGGTGCCTGAGAGCAAAGTAAAAAACAGTGACAGAAAATCAAAGAAAAATAATTTAACGGTCAGAAACGGCAACGATTGAGTTGGTCAGGTGCAAAATAGAATCCACAAGGGTTTTAAGATGGACTCGCTAAATGGCCACTTAAGAACCACTAAGAGAATGAAAGACAGAAGTGCAAGTGCTTTACTATCAACCCTGCCATATGATAGCAGGACACAAGTTGTTAAATCTGCAGTTGGAAGCTAATACTAGATAACTACTAAGCCTGAGGGAAACATCCTGTGCCAAGAATCTATGGACAGGCCTAGAGATATATACATATTCTAACCTAATCTCAGTCACAACCAAAGTATGGAGCAGAAGGTAGAGAAATTGAGTCGAAAGAAGAGCATTTGGTAGGCTGTGAGGACTTCAAAAGATGTTGATCATACATCCATTCTCTCCATCCCTCCCTTTCCAAAAGTAGCACATTTGGAAAGAAAAAAAGAAAAAAAAAGCAAAAGAAAGAAAAAGAAAGGGCGTCTATGATGGTTGCAACAACAATCACATCCAGGATAACAAAGAAAAAATATCATTACTAGAGAAAACAACTGCAGACTCAGACTGGATAATAAGATCACAGATTCCAGAATCCTAATTCCTTGTACATTCGCTTAGAAAAGTCAGAACGAGTCCAGGAAAGTAACAACCAAAAAAAAAGAAATTTATATTCATAGGAAGTACAGCACATAGGATAGGATAAATACTGGTTTATTCCAAATGAGGAGTTTTGCAAACAAAATTTTTGCTTGAATCCACTTTGATATTCTTCATACGTCATCATTGCCAGCTGATTAAATACAATGCACATCAGTACTTTGACTTAAATAACTATTAGGGGCATGATAATTCAATTTAAGTTCATTAATGAAACATGAGTGCTTTCTGTGGAAGTTAACTTCCTAACGGCATGTGTTCAAGCTAGCTTTCTTCAGGAAATAGGTTTATGTTTAAACTAGACAAATAACTGCTAAATATATGTAATAAGAAAAATATGCATATCTGCAACAATCGTCATAACTAATGATTCCTAGGGTAACTGATCAAGAATATAGCAGGTCAGGACTTTAAAGAAAAATACAATATGTGATAGACAATCACACTCACTCTAGATAACCTACTAGGAATAGTGAAAATTGTTCCTATGGTAGAAAAAGAAAGAAAAGAGATTAGAACGGCAGAGCTAAGTGCCACCTAAATATGTAAGATCAGGTTGATGACCTAACTCACAGATTATAGAAGTAAGATAAACGTCTATATAACCATCCCCAGTGACTATAGATTTGATGATATAAGCCAATGTCTCCAAGTAATAAAACAACTTGCACAATCATTAGTCACTTAAGGTATATGCAAACACCAGATTATTGCCAGTCAACATGTCGCTAAATGGAAATAGTAAAGCACGTACAAATTTTTTACCAAAAACACCAATTGAAAGAAGAACATCCTATGAAGATGGTTAACTAAAGATGCAAACTATAACATATTAGACATTATGTGAACACATGGAACATAGAATTTCAGCTTCTTATGTAAACCCAATTACACAGACTGCAAACAGTAAACAGCAGTTGAAGACCATACTGTAGTGAAAACATTACATAAATTAAGATAGTAGGTGCTACAGATGATCAGGAAAAGCCCAAAATAACATCTGAATCGATCATTCTGTGACCAACAAAATCATTATTTTCCAGTAAATTTCCCTTGAAACCTCAGCAACCTAGGAATTTGGAGGGGGCCTGATTAAAACTGCTCGAATATCTTAAATGTTTTGCTAGACTACATTTACTTGGTCACACATCATCGTTTCCAGCTGGTCGAATGAAATATCAGCATATTAGACATACACGATGTGGTGGTGAATCCAAAGAATCATAATGTTCAATCAGCAACTGAAGGGACACAACATAAAGGTGGGACACAATCTCAATTATTCTTAAACCATTATGTGAAAGCATCTAGAACAATTACATGGATAAGAAAACCCACGTTCCTCACAACAACAAGTATCCTGAATGCCAAAGATAATTTAAGACAGGACTTGTGCTCCAGTTATTGCTCCAGACACATGATTGGAGTTATTAAGGTACATATTGGAGGCCAAAAAGGCCAACAGCTAGTGTCAATTCACAACAAAGACATTACTACAGACACAACCATATCAAATAATGGAAAATGTAGTCTCTAAAAGCGGACAATGACACATGTCGTATAGCAGGATTTTTGATAAAACTAAACTGGATTAGAATGGAAAGGAGACATGAACTCAGTCAAGTGCCTACTTATTGCGAAGAACATCTGTGCACTATTGTAAGCTATGACATTCTGACCAATTATAGATGAGTCAAGTTCGGGCCTAAGATGGATTGGAGGTCATTTTGGCTCTCATTAAGAAGGTTAGGTCTTTGTTCCAATATTTATTTGAGAATATAAATTAGAAGTTAAACCAGTCTAAAAAGTAATTAAATTTTCAAATACATACAAGAAATTTTATTGATATGTTTAAATATTCAAATACATACAAGAGCTTTTCCTGATATATGAATTATGTCAAAAATAATAGTCTATGGGGTGGTCTGAAACCGCCAATAAAAGCATGACTGTTCAATTAATCTTGAACTTGCGCTGTGAAAACTGAATGTAAATACTTAGCTGCGTTCACTTTGACCTATTTAGTTTAGGCCCACATTTCTCATGCTGGGTTGGGGGTTGTTAGGATACAATTATTTTAGTTCATGTCCTAGACAAATGCATATCTATGTACAAATCTCAGGTTCTTTGAATCATCTCAAATTTTACAAAGTTTGGTCTACAATATTTTCTGCCAAAAGTTGACTAGCTAAGAAATAGAACGGTAAGATAGGACGAATCAGCTAATGTCCCTAACAAGTGGTTTATGAATCTAAAATCAGTTGTGTCAATAAATAATTTGGTTAGATTGTTACAATATGGCTATGAGGAGTCGATGCAACTTCAAAGTCCGAACATTAAATTATATGCGAAGAAAACACAAGAATGTGGAAAAAGAGAAAAATTTTGGAAAAAGAGAAAATTTTCAAAACAACTTCACTACATTCACCATTTAGTACCAAGCCCCAACATTCAAATTGAATATACTTGGTTTCCACCCCCTTCAATTTTTCATGTATATAAAGATTTCATCCTCCTGTGAATCAATTGTCCTTGTAGTTACAGATGGAACAATTCATACATATGAAAACGTTATAGGTTCAAGTTAATCACCTTTTTTTTCTGGCTGGGTCTTCATCTAGTATCATCTTGTCCTACAAAAGGGGGAAAAAAGGCAAATGCGCTCTTTTAACAACACATCAAGAAAGTGGAATAGGAGTATTGAGGACAGGTGAAGAGAATGAGAAAGGGTGCATAAAAAGAGAGAATATGGCTACCAAATGGACTGATACCTCTAATGTAGACCTCCCTCATATAAATTTTCATACTCGCATCTGCTACTTTGATCCCTACACTTAAATATCTTTTACCTCAAGAAATAAGCAGCAGCGAAGTGATTCGCTTCCCTAATGTAATTAGAAAGAAATTCCCCATACAAAATTTTCCATCTGAGCCCTATACTAGATTATGTTCTGGCTCAAAGTGCAAGCAAGGTAGCTTAGTGTTCTCTACAGAAAAAGCATTGGGCTAGCTTACATGGCCAATCCTTCGATAGGCGACTCATTTTGAGATAGTCATTCATGAAACATCACTCATAGCACCAAAAAAAAAAAAAATATTATTAAGTGCATAATTAAATGGCTAAGAACCTGAAAGTACTTAAACCGTTGATGGTAGGCGATATGAACTTATCATGCTAATTATTCAAGAACAGGCTAAACCAGGTACAATTCCACAAACAATTCGAATTACAATAAAAAGTCAAGATAAACACAAAAGAATTAAACCTAAATCTTGAGCAAAGAGATGAAATCACCTTCGATGAGCCAACCGTAACCCCCTCGGGATACGGAGAGCATGGAGGTCATCAGCGCGGCGGCGGTCACGCTGTGCATCGGGAGCAGCGATTCGACGCAGAAGCTCATCTCAACTGGAGACCTAAATTTCAACAACAAAAAATAAAAAAATTAAAAAGGAGGGTTCTTTTTTTTTAGTTTTTTATTCGCGAAAGTTTGGACTTTGAGGTACCTGAGGATTCGAGGAGCGGCGATGGGTTTTGGGAGGCGAAATGAAGAGGGGGAGGGTTTGGGCTTCGATGCGATCTTGGCAGCGGCGCTGCGGACGGAGGAGGACGATCGGAGAAATGATCTCGCGGCGGTGGTGCCATTGCTGAGATTTGAGAGAATTGGAAATGAGGGTTCTCGTTTTGATTTTTGGGCAGAGAGCTGCGAGGTTTTGGGGTCCTGACGACGAGCGGAGTAAAACCCTACGTTGCAAACGGGTCGGATCTTTAGTTATAGTGATCCAGATCCGATCGCTCTACACCCTTTTCCCCTCTTGGTTTTTCTCCCCTGTTTATCATGAATATGAGTTTTATTTAGGTATCTCATAAACAAGTATTAAGCCCGTGCTCACACGGATTATTTTGATTTCTTTAGTTTTTATATGTTTGTTAATTCGCTATTCGAATATGTTAAGTCACCTTGATGTAATAATAGAGATGATTAAATTATACTTCCTTGTAGACTATAACTTACCGATCATCCACATTAAATGCTTATGAAGGACGAGACAATAAGTTTCTCTTTTCGTTATGGTATGAGAAGAAGATAATAGAGTTTTTTTATTAGCTAAAGTAGATAGTTTGAATGATAGGGTTTTTCTTAGATAGATTACAATCTCAAGTTTGAAATTTAAAATTAGATAAGTTAACCATCAATCTCCTTTACAAATCTAAAAAAAGTAATTAATGACTTTAAAAACTAAAAAAGGTCTGGGATTTTAATGTCTCGAGATCTCGAGCAATTTCCATATTAAGTCCACTTGCGATTGAAACACGAATGAGATTACTTTCCTCTAATCCAAAAAATAGATAGTAGGAGGTTCCATCATCCCCTAGTATTAAAACCATAAGACTTCCCATGATCATTACCTACACCAATGATATATTATAATATTATAATATAATATGTTAAATTTGAGGGTCACTCATAATTATAGAATTTGTTGAGGTGTTGTTTGTAAAATTTTGAGGGTGTTTGTATTTTTAAAAACTTTCAAGGGGGTGGTTGTAAAGTCTTCATGAGGCTATTTTGTAAAACTTTTGTGGGATTATTTATAAGTTACAAAACTTTTAAAGGATTATTTGTGAATTCTTTGGAGGTGTTTGTGTTTTTTAGAAACTTTCAAGCGTTTTTTGCAAAATTTTTAAGGACTTTATAATATTTTGAAAATTTTAGCATAGTGTTTGTTGCATTATCAACTTTCATGAGGCTAGCTATAAAATTTTTAAATGCCTATTTGTAAACTTTTGAAGAGTATTTGTTATTTAAAAAACTTTCAACGTGTTGGTTGTAAAATATTTAGGGGTTAATTGTATACCTTCGCAGGGCTACATGTAATTTTTAAACTTTTAAAAGGATTGTTTAGATTTTTAGGGATTGTTTAAAATTAATGAATTTTAAAGGTGGTATTTATAATTTTCTAAATTTATGGTGTTGTTTGTAGTTCTCGAATTTCTCTAGGATTTATTTATAATTTTTGAAACTTAAGGGGTTGCTTGCAAATACCATGCGCTATTTGTAATATACAGATTTATCATAAGGAGTTTGTAATTTTTTAAAAAAAATTTAGGTGGTTTGTTTATAAATTTTTTAGGGAGTTGTTTGTAATATTTCAAAATTATTAGCATAATGTTAGTTATTTTTGCAGATTTCGTGAGGCTAATTTTAAATTTTTTAACGACTATTTGTAAGATTTTCAAGGTGATATTTGTATTTTGTGAAACTATCAAGGGATTGGTTGTAAAACTTTTAGGGGTTCGTTTGTAAAACTTCAAAGATCTATTTGTAATTTGTAAACTATTTAGAGGATTATTCAAAAATTTTCAAATTTTTAGGAATTATTTGTAATTTATGGATTATTAGTTTATATTTTTTGAATTTTATGGCACTATTTGTAATTTTTATATTTTTATAGTTTTATTGGTAATTTTTGAATCCTAAGCATAGTTTGTATTTTTTTTATTTTCAGTGGTTTGTTTGTAATTTTTGGATTTTGAAAGTAGTAGTTGATAAATTTTTAATTTTGAATAACCTATTTATATCAAATAATGTTTTGATTAATAGAACTTTCAAGTTATGAATAGTTTTAATTTGATAACGATTCTTTAACAAAAGGATTAGAAATGAGAGGTGTGACGGTTGGAATTTGTTAATAATTTTTTTTTTTGACTATATTTCTTAGGTGAAGATAGGATTAGATATCAACACATCAAATTTTGATAGGATACACTGCTAAAATTTGAGGCATCCTAGACGGAAAATTCCGTCTAGGATACCCAAAATTCCGTCTAGGATGCGTATTCTAGAAGGAATTCCGTCTAGAATACGCGTCTAGTTTATTTCCGTCTAGTATGTAGTATTCTAGACGGAAATTCCGTCTAGAATACATCCTAGACAGAATATTTTAGACGGAATTAAAAACCGTCTAGAATACATCCTAGACGGATTATTCTAGACGGAATTTCCGTCTAGAAATCTTATTCTAGACGGAATTTGATTTTTAAATTTTTTTATTTTTTTTATTTTTAAAAAGTATTCTAGACGGAATTTAAGCATCCTAGATAGAATTTCCGTCTAGGATACTATGCTACAGTTTTTTTTTGCAGAATCTACTTTGAGTGTATGTACACAATATTGAACAAAAAAAAAATTATATTCATATCCAACACAATCTAATTAATTCCAATATCAAATCCAATTATATTCAAATAATACATTCACCAAAATAGTAGAGAGATACATAAATTATTTACAAACGTTTACATAAATTATTTACAATGGCTATGACACTTCTAGGAAAGAATGTAATTCATCGATACATGATTAATAATCTATTTGAGTTCCTTTCTGTTCTTCCAGATTTGCTTTCTGTTCTTCCAGATTTGCTTGACACCATCCAACTCCTTCCAGAATGCCTCATAATAGTCAGGAATGCTGCAAAATGAAGAACGATTATGCATAAGGCAAGGAGTTATCGAAGTAGAGTATCATATTTCTTAGTACAAGCTATTATCTAAATCAATTAGTAGATGAATCCAGCAGGAAACAATTTGAGGAATAGTGTTCCACTAAGGATAGTAAAATGAAGAGTTCCTGTACCCAAAACAATTAATATTCAAAGAGCGTGCGATGAGGTACTTAATCTCAAAATGTGTGTATGCAGGAATAATTTTAGCCCCAGGGACAAGCATGGTAAGTATTAAGATCAAATGTGAAATATCAATTGCATGGTTCATAATGAGTTGAACAAGTTTCTCACTTCATACTTTTTCACCTCAGCTTCTATAGATGCATGCTTTGAGTTCTCCCCATGAACTAATAGACGCCATTTCCTTCTGAGCCTTGTTTCACATTATAAAGAAAGAAATCATCACAACTCCCAAGTTTAAATCTTTCTTTCGGATCAAGGTATTAATAACTAGCCTAGCTATCTTCTTCAATAAATTGGGCGAATTGGTTATTCTTCATCACAAAAATTAACCACGTTAAATGTTTCCAATTGAGAGGTCAGGTAAGAATCATGAAAAGCAAGTTATCCATCTTACCTTAGAATACTCAAAACTTGCAGCCTTTGATATAAATTTTGGATATAAATATTTGGGGAAAAATCACACATAATAAAAAAGTTAAATTCAATCTTTGATGCAAATTTTTTGTATATTTTAGATGCTAGAGGTCGCTTACAGGATTGCAATTCTTCAACTTTAACCATGCTTTGTATTTACTCGTATATATTGTATATAAAATCATATTTTCATATGTGTATTTCTACTAGTGACTTCATTTTAGTAGCATCACAGAAACCCAACCCAAGCATGTTTTGAATTATCATGATGCACATAAAAGATAATACAAACTGAAGCCATAATTTAGTGAAAGATTATATTATATTTCCAAAATGATACATATTTTCATGGACAATTTTATAATATCCCCATGTAAAAGAACCAATCAATAAAAAGTAGAACACCATCAAAACACATGAATGCACACTAATGCATTGAGATCCAAAATACACAACAACAAAGCTCACCTAAATTCTCCAATGACCAACACTTCTGTTAACAGATAAACACCTGCGAAACATGGGAAACAAAAATTAAAACCATAGATAGAGGATATACAATAGACGGAAAACAAAACCAAAATTCTTCTATTCGACTACATCGGTTTGTATATACAAAATGAATACCCAACTAAAGATTTCAGGGAATGATTGCACACTCAAATGTCAAGCGTAACCCCGACTAAATGGTCCACGCAAAGCCAAGCAAAATTCACATTCTATCACACCAAAAGAAACTAAACAGAAACAATTGTAATTCCTTTAAAAAAGGAATGCGCCCAAGATGAACTCAAACAACACAAATTAGCTAAAAAACACATGATGATATTCAAAAGGGACATTGATTACTCACAATATGTTGCAAGAATGTCGACAACACTGCTATACATGCACACAAGAAACCCTTGGCATTAACTTTGACATCTGTCACAGTACAAACACCAACACCAAGAACCACCACCACCACGGCCATCTTCACCTCTCTCGAGTAATGCTTGCTATGAAGGATCCACTCCATCACACACCACCACCACCACGGCCATCTTCACCTCTCTCGAGTAATGCTTGCTATGAAGGATCCACTCCATCACACAAACCACAGGAATCATGCTCAACTTTGAGATCTACATTATCAAAAATAATAAATCTTTGATTGCATCAAGAAAATCTAAACATATAAATTACAAAATTGTCAAAGTTAAAACCTCCTCCAATCAATCAAAACCTGATAAAACCCGACAGAGTTGAGCATAAGGCTCAAGTTCATCCCGGCAATGGACGTATTGGCCACAATCGAGAACCAGAGGAGCTCCCAAAGGGGAACATGCTTGTTGGCCATTATAATCCCGACGGAGCTCACGACGTTCATCGCCCAAGCGCCAACGTCAGACATCGTCGACGATTTCTTTCCTTCTTCCATTTTTTTGAATTAAAATAAAAATTTTTGATAAGAAAATAGGCCCAAATAGCTCAAAATTAAACAGATGAAAGAGAAGAACAGGAGGAGGAAGAAGAGGGTGGGATTTGGTTAATTTTTTTCTTTATTTTCTTTTCAAATTTGTCTCCTCTCTTCCCTCTTCTCCTCTCTCACGCTCTTTATCTTCTCCTCCCTCCCCTCTTTCTCTCTTTAGAAAAAATACCAGCAGACAAAGAGTGAGAGAGAGAGAAGGGGGGGGGGGGGGGGGGGGGGGGGTGAGAGAAAGAGCGGTCACTCAATCGATGTCGTGCTCGCACGTGAGCGGCCTCGCCGCGCTGCTGAAAGCGTCACCTACGCTGGCATCGATCAGTCGCGCCCTCATGACCACCACGTACGCACCTACGCCGGCGGAAGGGAGCTCCTCGACATCGCCACGGGCAAGCCTGCAACTCTGTTCGATTACGGAGCGGGGCACGTTGACCCCCTGAAGGCCCTCGATCCAGGGCTCGTCTACGATCTCACCTCCACCGACTACCTCGATTTCCTCTGCGCGTTGAACTACACCTCCGTTCAAATTGGCGCCATGGCTAAAGGCAGCAATTTCACAGGGAGGAGTAGAAGTTTGGAGTTGAGGATTTGGGGGAGGCTCCTGAAAATTTCAATTTTGGGGGGGAAGAAGAGCGGCTGGGGTTTTGATGGGGTATTTTTTAATTTTAAATGGGCACGTATTCTAGACGAAAATTTCCGTCTAGGATACTATTCTAGACGGAAATTTCCATCTAGAATACCTGGTTATTTAAAAAAAAATTAAAAAAAATAAAGGAACCGTTTAGGATACTATTCTAGACGAAATTTTCTGTGTAGAATGTTTTATTCTAGACGGAATATTCTAGACGGAAAAATTCCGTCTAGTTTAATATATTCTAGACGGAAAAAATTCCGGCTAGAATATTCCGTCTAGAATACTTGATTTTCTTCTAGTGATAGGTAGACAAATGACAGCTTTTAAATTATGAATGATTTACTTTGATTTGGATTCTTAGGTGAAGATAGAACTAAGTGTCAATTTGATTTGGATTCATAGGTGGACACGTGTTTTTTGCTTTTGTTTTTTTTTTACATATGACATGTTTTTGAGACTTTAGGAGTTGTTCGCCAATTTATATACAAAGAAGAAGTACGATTATGAGATTTTTTTATTATGGATAGTTATAATTTTATTAGTATTATTAAATATTTGGTTATTAATTTATTTAATTATGGGTAAATTTAATTTGATGAGAAATCTTAGAAGATAAGATTAGGTGTCCATATAGCACATGGCTACTTTTTAATATGGCACATGTTATCTACATTGATGACACATGTCAATTTTTTGTGTCTTTAAAAGAACCACTAATTTCTCATTATATATAAAGGAGGGATAATTAAGTAAATTTCGAAAACATTGTGATTTTCTAGGAAACCATCGTAAAAATTATAATTTTCTTATAACCATCATGATAATATGTATTATTAACAAAGTGTTACCTACTCATAATTTTTATCAATACTAGTTTTTATGCACGTGTAGCGCACGTGGTAAAATATCAAAATATTTTTTTATATTTATTTTATTACTATAAATAAGTCTGATTCATCTCGAGTTCAAATATGTTAAATTGAATTATTTTATTTACTATTATTTTTATTTAAATATTTTTAAAAATCAATGTATGGAATCACACAGTCAATTTATTAAAAATCAACACAATGCTTTCATTTTTCATCATTGTAATTTACTTATAGACAAATCATCTTGGCTCATTGACTTTACGTAGCATCTTCCTTTTATAATGCTATTTTTAAGTGTTTTTTTTACTTTTGCGACAATATCATTTCTCATGCTGTTAATGTATGGAATCACATAGTCAAATGAAAGTAGATTAAGTTGACGGATGTCCTCTAGCTCTTCGAATGTCTGGTCCTTGGGCAAGCTATACTTCTCTGCACAAGTAACAAATCATAAGAGGACAGGGTCTGGAATTTCTGCAGATACATACTTATCATACTGATCTGATGATGTGATTTTGTGATCTCCAATAAGAATTATTAAGATAAGTGCATGTGGTAGTCCTCTTTTGAAACTCAATTACGTGAACATGTGCGGTAACTTTTCCAAAGATCTCCTTCTTAAAGAGTTGATCTTTCAAGTCTTAGAACTTTGCTCGAAATATCCTTGAGGTTAGATCCGGCCTGTCATTATGGGTTTGACCTGGATGTAGTTGCTCAATGATCTCTTCCCATTCTGGATTACATGTCATTGTTATAAAAAAGATCTTACTTTCTAAATCGTTGTACTAATGACATTGCATCAATGTATCTATGACACATGTCTCTAGGATTATCTATGAATGATGATGGAAGCATTATTCTCTTGCCCACTTGGCATGTATTTATTTCCCCGGCAGCTACACTATTAACGATGCTTTGGAATAACTCTGCTCTGATTTCTGATTATTTATTTCTAAATTAATCAAGTCTTGTTGTTTCAAGCTTTATGTACATATCAACATCATATTATTGTTGAGAGTCTCTTATCTAGAGCTTATGACAATAATAATCTCGGCATGAGACTTTTCCGGGTTTTGGTGTCTTGATGCCTATAAATTTGAGGGTTAAGCTATGTTCATATATAATAATATTACTAAGAATTGTGAATTTAAATTTACCTTCACTTTCTCGGTTAAATATGTCTTCTGTAGATGTGAAGGTTGGTAAGGCTACTGAAGTCGCTATTATAGTTCTTTGTTGATTGAAAGCTCTGATATCCATTTTATCCCTTCTTTTAATATTTTGATGTCATCCAACATCTCCTTTTGAAAGAGTAAGGGATACTGCAGCGGATCATAACAGCTAAAATAATGTTTCACTTGATGTCTTCCTACTAAATGTGCATGGACAACTATCACTCTCTCAAATGGTGCATTGTCATTATTTTCTTCAACCCAGATTGCAGCCACCTGATCTGCTATTGGTGAGTTATAAACACGTTGATCTAGTGCAACGTTACTATTTATTAGTATCTTAAATTCTTCAAAAGTTTGATAATCATTCAATTTGCGAAGGAACTTTGCATATGTGTTTCCTTGCAATATATCCATCAAGCTCTTAGTTATGATTTCACTCATATTTGCATTATCTAATATTCCCAATCGATTTTGCAACTCATTCTCTGTATCATAGAAGTAAAGCTAAAAGTATGAAGGCTTATTTTCTTTTAGAATTAGAGCAAGGAAATTATGATATATTTGACCATGTGCTCTAAATGTAAAAACTCATTTACTATTTGATGCGAGCTTGATGCAGGAGATCAAGTCTTGGACGAGCCGAGAAGAAAAACAACCCAGTCGAGTCGAGCAGACGACTCGAGACGACAGGACGAGACGACAGGCGACAAGACGAGTCTACACATCCCAGTCGACACGAAAGGCGGGACTACTTGACATACTTAGTCGACTCATGTCCAGTCGACACGGAAGACGGTATTACTCGTGTCAACTCGGACTTCAGATTAGGAAAGAGTCCTTTGGGTTATTTCCTTTTTGATTAGGAAAGAGTTCCTTGTCAACTCGGACTTCAGATTAGGAAAGAGTCCTTTGGGTTATTTCCTTTTTGATTAGGAAAGAGTTCCTTTTTGGTTATTTCCTTTTAGATTAGGAAAGAGTTCCTTTTTGGTTATTTCCTTTTAGATTAGGAAAGAGTTCTTTTTGGTTATTTAGATTAGGAAAGAGTTCTTTTTTAGATTAGGAAAGAGTTCATAAAAATAAAAAAGGAACATACATATTGAAGAAGATGAAGTTACTATAAAAATTATGTAATTTCTTGGTTTATATATAGGCATGAGGTGTTGCATGTGATTGGATAATAGTCATAATTAGAGTTCTCTTTGTACAAACATTTAAAATTTAAAACTTTGAATTTGATTAGGATTGTGTTTCATTATTTATTTTGAATTTAGAGATGTTTATCAAGGTATGCCTTCGTTGTTCAAGTGCATTTGCAAAATTTCAATGCCCTAATATGTGTGAATGTGTTGCATAATACCAAGGTATGCCTTCAGATATTGATTAATAAGTCAGATTATATCCCACGACAATATTTGATATAAAATTTTATGTGTTGAACTATTTCATGTGTGAATATAATGAAAAAAAATATGATTTAGAGTGATAAAAGTTTTACCAGCGTAAGCATCCAAATATCTTTATATGTTTGGAATCAATTAGAAAAATAGTGGCTTTGTCACTCGTCATTAGTCTCTAGAAAAATATGGAAAATTTTATTACTATCTTTAACGCCTATAGGCTTGGCCTTGTCTGGACCAAGATCACTATTAGGGCATTAGCAAATTCTGTGGGCAAAACATTATTTTGAATCAAGGTAATATTTTATTTTATGATAAAACATTATTTTGAATCAAGGTAATATTTTATTTTATGATTACATGACAAACTGATAATTTGATAAAAATCCAGATAATCCATGATTATCCAAAGCAACTGTTGCTTGACAAAATATTGTTACAATAAAATTTCCATGATTATTTAAACCATTAATGAAAGGGTTTGCTTGTTGTTTGAATGAATTGCTCATGCAAAAGAAGGATGGTTCTCACAATGGATGTAGTATTTTATCATAGATAACACTCAGTGCTCTAGCATATTTGTAAGGTTAAATCAAAGTATTGAGCGAATTAATTTACTTACATTCATCATTAAATATTCTTAAAATATTCATAAAATTTCATTGTTGTAATGTGAGTTCCTCCTCTCTCTTCATAATCTAGGTATACGTCTATGAAGACTAACTACAACGCCTTGGTATACATCTATGAAGACTAACTACAACACCCATGTGTTAATTTTATTGATAGATTAATTGCTTCACATGTATAAGTGGATTTATATCATATTTGAAATGATAATTAAATATAAGATTAAATAAAAAAAATTAAAAAAAGGTATCTGTTTTTTATTTCGATTTAATCAAATAAAATATATAATCAAATAAACCCAAATTTAAATAATATCAAATATGAAGATTTACCTTGATAGATGGAGAACCTACAACAATCAAATCCTTAATTAATCCTCTAAATACTGCATGAAAACTGAAGAAATTCAAAATTTTTTATCAATTACCATAAAAACTAATTGCAGTGCAAAACAAGTATCACCATTAAATCAAGTACACAATATTACTAAAGAATAATCATGAAAATAA